CTAACCAAATCACTTTATACTTGATCAAAGAGGCCAGATGTAGAGTATATATACCACTTTTTAGGGATTGGTGAGTTTTCTTGACTCGCAAGCCTGAATTTTTTTGTGATGATGTTACCTCGCTCTGATGATGTCCGTCTATGACCTTAACTAACTAAATCACTTTATACTTGATCAAAGAGGCCAGATGTAGAGTATATATACCACTTTTTAGGGATTTGCCGGTCTTTCTTGACTCGTTAGCTTGAATTTTGTTGTGACAATGTTACCTCGCTCTGATGATGTCCGTCACCGGAATCGAAGGAGATTGCCTTGGAAACAGCGTCAGCATGAATCTTCCAGTAAAGCTAATCGACAGCCGGTCAAGAGGAATCCGCCGTCGTCTTCTGGTGGAACCGACCTTGCAATCTCTTCACCCAACACTTCTACTCGAAATGGAAGTAAGCTCACCGGCTAATGCCTAAAAAGCTATGTATATACTCTATATATGAGTTCTTTGATGAGCTGTTAAGTGATTTGGTTACATCCAGTCATATGTCAACCTCCAAGCATATGAGTGTGTCTGTCTCTGTATGTGTATGTGCTTGTTTGTGTTCGTTTATGCACGAAACCAACAGTTATTAGGACAGCAAAATTAACGTCTGTTCTCGGTTATCAAGGTTAAACGGCCACCATCACCCGTCTATATGTATATTTTAACCATCACTATGATTGCACAAGGTTAGACACACGTCTGGTTATGCTAATGAGCTGCAAAAAGGAGGCAACTCAACTAGACGGTATGCCAGTATCAAAATACTATGGGATTCTTCGAAGCCCAGCTTCTCTTCATATCTCAGACGTTACTTTTGCTGTCCTAATAACTTTGAGCCATCACTGCTGGTTTCGTACACATTCGAACAAATATAGGCACATATGCATACTCAGACAGACACACTCATATGCTTCGAGGTTGACATATGACTGGAACTAACCAAATCACTTTACACCTCATCAAAGAGCTCAGATATAGAGTATATACACAGCTTTTTAGGCATGAGCCGGTGAATTTTCTTGACTCGTCAGCATGAATTTGGTTGTCCTCTAGTTGCAACCTGTCCCCATCGTCCTTTCAACAACACTGACGCTACTCGAACCGGGGCAAAAAGAGGGCTACCTATGGAGAGGTTAAACTTGAGAGCAATGCCCATTTACCGTCGTGTGAGTCAACAAGGCAAGCCCATTGTGGCTTGGGGTCAATGCGTTTGACTCTCAAAACGCCCATCCGTGTTTCGAGTCCCGCCAGGAGTGTTGAAGAAACGGTGAGTAGCCGGGCAGATGACACCCCATCGGGCGTGAATTGACGATCATTGCCCTCAGCACCACATGCAATTGGGACTCATTTGCCGCCAATCCAACCACAAAGTGTTAAATCACTTCGTCACTTTGAGTCTTGTCTACGCCGAGGAGCTTAGTTGAGCGGGGCCCGAGTTCGAGTCGCACCGGGACTGACGGCTGGCTTCGAATCCGGTTCTTTCATGCGCAGTCGCCTACTCCCTCAAAAGGTTTACCCAATTAGGCATCGTGCTTATCGTAATCCAAATAGAAGCAATGACTAAATATGGTCTGCAGCGAATTGTTCCAATCCTCTCTCGTCCCATTGATTGACCTCGTTAAGGGACATCGCATCGTGCACACTACATTTTCTTGCTTCACACTACCACCTCTTCCAGCATGACTCATCCTCACCACGACTTAAACATACAAGCTCTCCCATTGGGTCCACCTGAGTGATAACGTCAAGAAAGGCCATCCTCCAAAGGCCAATAAGAAGTTCCACACACACACACATACACACAACATACACACACATACACACACACACGCACACACACATAATAATACCACACAATAATGAGCTCACGAAGGATCACATCTGTTTCCGTTTCCGAAGATATTGCGATTTCTACTTCTACATCGTTCTATTGTATACATACTTTTTGGGTTTCCATCTCCTTTCGCTGACCCTGTTAGGTATCCGTACCTCTTAGTCGAGGCAACCAATTTTTTCCGACGGATTTCAATACGAAATTGCTCTTTGCAGCCACATTTTACCACGATCCATTTTCTATATTGGCGGTATTTCGGTAATATTTTCTATGCTAATAGGCTTTTCGGCAACCAATACTTCTTGGGTCAGGACCGAGTGCCCCCAGGTTATTGGGGATGATTTAATTTCTACTACTTGAGCACCCCCTAATTGTGCGAAATGGTATTCTCCTCCAGGCTAGACTGGACTACAACTTCAACATCGCACTACTCATCTCCATCTCCACCGAGAATCAATACCTAGTCGTGAGCAGCGTGGCAACAATAAACACTTCGCTACACAACCACACAAAGGAGGTTGGGTCAGGGGATCACAGGACAGTCATGTATCTCATAAATTGTCTTTGTCGGGGGAGTTTCGACAAGGCAAACAGGTATTTACCAGTGAAATGGACGAGACTACTTATTTCCGAAGGTAGTAGTTGTCACGTAATTCGGCTTTGTTGTTACGCCGAAAAGTGGTGACATTTCACAGCGATGCTCATGACCTGAGCTCAAATTTTGTCGGAGGCATTGGTGAAAGACGATGATATATAATAAAAATTGTAGTTCATATTGGATAAATAGGGACATTTTGGAGGCAAAAGCCTCATGGAAATTTAATGGCATTCTCAAGCCTACTTGTCGGATTGTGGGAACTTCAACTGTCAAACCTTACTTCACCTTAGACCATTTAAGGTGACTAGAATTGCTATTCCTAGTCAAGTGGTAATTTCGAAGCATACAAATATACGTTAAGTTTTCGCCGCTATATGCAAAAAAAAGTTCGCCTCATCGAAAATTTCAATCTATAAAGTGTGAATTTGAAGGGATCTATCTTTACTTTAAACTCATTTTGTCCTGGGGCCCAATGGTTTCTGTGACAATGTGACAATTGACTCACACGATCCAAGTCGAGTGTGTTGGAGTATATTGAAATGTATTAGATTTGAATGTAATAGAGCGTATTGAGTGGAGCGGAATAGATTAGTGGAGTAGAGTAGAATGTAGTTGAGTGGGTTAGAGTTTAATGGAGTGGAGTAATGTGGGGTTAGCAGGAGTAGAGGGGAATGAGTGAATTAGATTAGAGTAGAACATATTAGGGTGAAGTGAAATGGGGGGTAGAGTGGAATAGATTTGTGTGGGTGCATTGGGTTGAGAAAGAGTTGATTGGAGCAGATTTTAGTAGAGTGGAGTGAAATTGGGTGGAGCAGGATGGAGTTAAGTAGAATGAATTTGGGTTCAATGGAGTAAAGTGGAGCAGATTTTTGTGGGTTTTTGTCCGGTCGATGTGAATCAGAGGTGTCAGATGATTCCACCCAGTCTAGGTTAGACGCCTTTGCTTAGGGATTGTGCTCGTGATGACTTTATAGGGTTGCGAATCGACCAGACTCCAGCTGACGGGACAGGCAAGAAGCTGTTGTATTTTTCGTTCATAAGTAGGGTTTCGAGACTACCAGTGAATCAGTTATATGAGATGTATTCACTCTATTTCGATTAAGGTGATAGAGGACTAGTAGTTTAATTTTCCTACAAACATATGAGTATACCTTACATTTCTACATAATTTCACATAGCCTTAATTTTCCCACAATCTATTCTCACCCAGGGTGGACTGCAGTGTCGACCTTGCATTAGTCCTATCAACAGCCCCAGCAGGACTCGAACCATGACGGTGCAGCGTATATTCTCGACACAATAACCGCTACGCCATATTTCATATAACTGATTGTCTCGTAGTCTTGGAAACCTGTGCCTGAACGAAAAATAAGTGTAGTTGAATGCCATATCAAATATAACTTTGCTTCATCGACAAGCACACCAAAGAATGTGGTATTGGAAAAATGTCTTACCTTGCAAGGGCAATGTTACGGAGTGTTTAAAGTGTTGAGAGGAATTGAGTCCCGCTTGGGCTGTTGATAAGACTTATGCAAAGTCGAAACTGCAGTCCACTCTGGATGAGAACACCTTTTGGGAAATCAAGGCTATGCTAAATTCAAAGGAAACGCCAGCTCTGCTCATATCGCTGTGGGAAAAATCAACTACCAGTCCTTCATCACCTCAAGTAAAATAGGGTGAATACATCTCATATGTTATGTCAGCATGTGGTGGACAGGCGAAAAAGGCTAGCCACAAGCGAAATGAGCCAGTCAGCTACTGTTTGACTTGTTCAGAGGAAGATGTGGAGGGGAAAAATGCAATAAATCTGTCTGTCTATGAATTATTCAGCAGACATCCGAATGAGACTGCGTCAGCGACAGAGAACTGGTGAAAAAAGATTGTCCCTTTCTGGAAGACCGCCCCACAAATCTGGACTGAACGAGGAAGTACGACTAGGACGTGTCCGCATCTCCCTCCGACAGGAGCCCTCCAGCCGCCCGAAATGTAGGCCGGCCGGTTGACTACCGGCTCAAAGTTCGAGTCAGTATATCAGACTCCAATTCCGGCCAGGCATACCGTACTCCCGAAATGAGGGGAGGAGGGACTCTGTCTCTATTTTCCATTTTCATCCGCAACTCTGTCTGTCTTCGGAGCACTGAGTTGATTCGACGAGGTAGATTACCTTTATCTATCTGGGTGTGAGTGTGTGTGTGTGTGCGTGTGTGGTAAAGAGGTATGTACTATCACTAGTTCTACAGGTAAAAGTGGGCATAAAGTGGCCAGACTAGAAGACTTCACGATGCTGCCAAACTTTCCTCACTTAACACGAATAGAGCTAGCGTTGTCAATAGGGCCAATTAAAATTTGCATATACACTAGAAAACACTACTATTTAGTCAATGAGTAGGTTAAAAACTTATAAGATATATGGTTACCGTAGGTAATTTTGGGCAATGTGATGATAAATTGGTACCACTTTAAGCGAACCATCCGGTTTTGAGTTTCATTCGCATCGTGCGACTTATTTACAAGATTGTGGTATATATCCAGTGTCAGCCCTTAACTCATCTTAACAACCCTAGGCTGTTTTGTGTTCTTACTCATAGTTAACGGATCAGCTCAAAACATGCTCAACACGAATATAATTTAAAATGGCAGCGTGCATCTATAGAAAAACTGCTAAAAAACGCAGCTGCTCTATGTTTACGAAGGTTGCCTGTACCTTCCTTTACATCTAAAGCTTCTACTATTTGCTTACTGAGTAGGCAGGTATTTTGTGGTAAATTGACCTACCACTCCTTGGCTTTCCCTAGGAACATAAGTTTTGCCTATTCTATAAACATATGAAATTAAACTATTTGAAACCCAGTTTCTCTTAATATCTACTTTATATTCAAGATACTCTCATATGATCAATGAATAGGAAGATATTTTATATGGTGGTTTTTAAAAGGTACATTATATAATTTTTAAAGCTTAAGCAGAATCTGCTTTTGGTGCAAAATCTGCCAGTTGGGTGTACACATTTGGCAAGCGGTTTCTATCCTTTCAGAGCATCTCATTTGTCCAAAAATGGACTCGAACCCATCCGGGCCCTGCGGTCAGAGGTTCTTGCCTGTCTTTACGAGACCATCGGTTTTCCGAAGCCTCGGTTCTTGGAGGACAAATACATTTTCGTGTAGATGGACACAAGACATACACAAGAGGATCAAATTCCCTACACCTCAGGGATGATCTGGTGGTCTAAAATCTGGTGCATAATCGATTTATACTGGGTCTGCACTGATTCCTCTTCACCAGAAGACATTTGCCATGGCTGCTATCTTCCTTTTTTTAGACGCACATGTATGGGCCTGCAGATTGGCACACGCTCAACAAGACTCGTGTACACATGTGGGTGTATGCAATTTAAGCGAAGGGAGAGGAGAAGCCAGACATGACTTATTCTAGTAATTATCTTCATCACCATCGGCCGCATCGTGATACGTGTCTACGTGTTGGCAACACTTCAGGTCTTCCCTCGCTGTCCCGCTTCTGTCTCCGTGTGCGACTTAAGGAAGTTTACGCATGCACCACTGGTTCGCTCCATCTTATTTGACTAAATGGTACACTCTCATGCCACTTCTTCTTCTTCGTTTTCAGCCAAGCCCCAGACTCGACCACTCCAGACGGACAGTGCTAAAAGAGGAGAATTCTAGAGCTGGAGGAAGCCGCCTCTAGCGTTGGTCAGAGTCGAACTGAGCTTCCGTCTTTAGGCCGAAAATCCGGTGTTTCTTTTGAGTTTGCATGTATGTGTGTGTATGTGTGAACGTTCGCCCCTATTCCCTAGCCTACAAACAGTTTTTCGATAGGAGTATGTTTCACACTAGCTTTTGTTGTTGAAAATAGCTTCGCATGGCAGCTGAGTACAGGGGCTGCTTCGATAAAATATCAGGATGATACATCATGCGATTCAGAAAGTTGACATCGTAGTTTCAAGCTATTTATAGCGGCTTAAATAGTACAGATTAGCACGGCCCAGGCTTGATCGCATTGTCGGAATATCAGTGGTTTCGTTTGGGTCACAGACAATGGAGGATGTTTGCGAGTGCAAATAAGCCACACACCTTTGTCAAGTGTTCTGCTTCCTCAAAACTTGGGTTGTAGTTTTCCGTAAGAGGCGACACTCGTGAGCATCTTTGCTTCTACCGGATACAATTGTCTCCGAGAGTAGCGCGAGTTGAGGGATTTCGGGTTGACTTTCATTTCGTGTGAAGATTCGAGAGGAAGAGTTGCCCAAACCAATCCGACCGAAAGATGACTGCGGATTCGCGTGGTTTTGCCATATTTCCAATGTTCAAGTGAACGCGAACGGGCAGAGCCTTTGTCACTCCTGTTTCACCAGATCTGGCACATCTTCCTTATAACGGCTTCAGTCTAAGACAATAAGTCAAAAAACATAGGCATACAAATAAACTAGTTAAGCCATTTTATACCCACCGAGCTGTCCATCAAGAGATATGACAGTCGAACCTCATCATAAACCTATAATGATGGTCGAGTCGTCGTCATACTTTGATGAAAGCGGCCTTTGAGTCCTTTCATCACACAAAGTGAAAGTCGGCTAAGCGTTGACATCAGCAGAAGATTCATCGAAACATCAGCCGGGGCCTACCTGTGCCAGTGTCCGCAAGCGCACACAGATATGCACACACACACACACACACACATAAACAACTCCTACAAGGTTAGGCAGCATTCTTCCTGGACAACCGGACGTCCGCAGAAGAATGCGCCATAGCAAGTTAACTTTTGCACGAACTTCCTTAATCAAGTATATAAAAAACCGTCAAAGAGACCCTATCTTATCCCAGTATACACACACACACACACACATATATATATATATGTATATTTATAAATAGGTGTATCTGTATATATATATATATATACATTAAAGTACTGTTTTAAATTGGCATTGAATATCCCACTTACTGGCACTCGGTGCAACGAGATCTCACATGTGATAGAATGTATTTTCTGTGCTGCCCCACTTGGGGAGAATTCCTGATAAGAATGGGGATTGCAAATAGGGCAGTTTCGTGTCTTGAACTGGGCGAAAGCCAAACTCAGCCTCTTGTGGATGGCGCGATTGGGGCGAAACAAACGATCACACCAGCGTTGCACAGCCTAACTCCCCTTGCGCACACACAAACTTGCCCCTGATGGCCGGTGCAAGGATGCAGCATGCTGAGGAGCGAGAATGTCTGACACATCTGGCAGTCTTGACAAATCCTACAGAGTCAGAATAAGGCATGTCTTTAATTGGATCCCAAAGAAATAGGCAAACTTCCTTTTCACCTCAAGGAAGGTCGGTCCGTCTGCCCAGGATACCGTTTCCATAACTAATCCACACATCTATTCTGCCTACATGCTCCTCTCTTCTGGTGGGCCAGGAGACCTGTCACTGAGCCCTGATGTTCTTATCATCGATTCCAACGTTGACTCGATGCCTGAAATGGACCTAGGACACAAGCCCGGGGATCCCCTCACTCAATGCGCTCCCCTGAATACCAATGTTGCCCCGTCTGAGTTTTGCCAAATCTGACCGGTCAACTGGGCAACACTTTTACCAACAGCCTGAACATCCTTGGCCCAAATTCGACCAGGAGCATGTCAAAAGCGCACTCTCGTATGAACAAAAAGTTCTCGCACAAGACATACATAATCATTCCAAAATATATTTTTATACATAAACAAATAAATAAATATATCATATAATAACATATGTGTATAATATTTATATTAGATTATATTACTACATATTATCTTTTTTTTGACAATATATACTGGATGATAATAATAATATCTAGTATATTATATGATATATATTATACATATAAATATAGTAGGTCATATTATTAGGTATTAGTATTATTATTGTTACTAATCTATATATATCAATTAAATATATATATGCAAATTCGTCAAATATAGTGGCAAATTCATGTTTGCGACATCAATATTCACGCTATCAGTAGTTCTTGATTAAAAACTCAATT